AAAAGTTTTGACATCTAACTGCTCAAGGTGCAACCCCTCTACTACAATAATGCTAAGAACTAAGCGAATGGTATTCAATTTCACAACCAGGGAAAAAATGTCTATGTAGTCAATGCCTTGCTTTTGCTGAAAGCCTTTGACTACTAATTTGCTTTGTATCTCTTGGAACCATCATATTCCTTTTTTACCATGTACACCCATTTATTGTGAAGAGCTTTCTTCCCTATGGGCAACTTGGCTAGTTCCCATATTTTGTTAGAGATAAGGGACTTCATCTCATCTACCATTGCAAGCTCCCAGAGTCGATAACCAAACTCATAAGTTGACTGTGTTGCATCTCTATCTTTGTACATCAACTTTTCGTTGAAAACCACATCTCTACTTTTTATGATTTTCTTGTTCTGTTTATCCCAGAGTCGATAACCAAACTCATCTCCGCTATATCCAACTAAGACGCATTTTAGTGACTTGGGGTCGAGCTTTCCCCTAGTATGGTCACTAATATGCGCATATATAATATAACCAAAAACTTTCAACCTTGAAATATTTACCTCTTTGCCATTCCATACCTCTTCTGGTATTTGATGCTCCAAAGGCACCGATGGTTTGTTAATTAGGTAGGATGTTGTATTGAATGCTTCTGCCCAAAATTGTTTGGGTAGACCCGAATGTATACGCATGCTTCTGGCTCTCTTTGTCAATGTTCAGTTCATCAATTCTGCCACCCCATTCTGCTGTGGGGTTTCTTGCACAGTCCTCTCTAATCTGATCCTATTATCAAAACAAAACTTCTTGAATCCAGTGTCTTCATACTCACCACCATTGTTTGATCCCAACATCTTGATCTTCAAACTTATCTCGTTCTCCACCATGACCTTCCACTTCTTGAACACATCAAATACCTCAGATTTGTGCTTCAAAAAATAAACCCATACCTTCCTCGTGTAATCATCAATGAAAGTCACAAAGTAGTATTTTCTGCCAGTGGATGAGACAGTGGCTAGCCCCCAGACATCCGTGTGAACTAGCTCAAGTTTCTCTTTTCTGAGATCTCTGTCACTCTTCTTGAAACTGACCCTCTTCTACTTGCCCATCACGCAACTCTCACAGAAGTCAATATTAATTGCTCGTATGCCTGGTAGTTTCCTCTTTGAGTGCATAATCTTGAGCCCCCTTTCACTTATGTGACCTAGTCTCTGGTGCTAAAGGTTGCGATCTTCTCTATTTTCTGCAACAGCTATAGACCCACAAGCACTAGTAATTGTCATAGCACCTCTGGAAACTTTCCATGAGTTTCTATTGAAGGTTGTAACAAAACTTTCCTCTGACAATTATCTTACCGAAATCAAATTTTTCCTCAAGTCAGGGATGTGTCTCACATCCTTCAACTTCCAAGCTGACCCATTCAACTTGATTTGCACTTCACTCTTGCCAAAGACGCTGCAAGACTGATCATCATCAAAATACACATTGCCAAGGTTACAAGGTTTATAGCTATTAAATAGCTCTTTGCTTGAGGTGATGAAACGATTCACTGGAATCTAAAACCCATAACTCCGCCTTGCTCTCCAAAGAGTATATCAATGCATCATTTAATTCTTCTGAGATAATGTTTGCTTTAGTTTTTCTTTCGGTTCCCTTCTGTGGAATTCTGCAATCAACACGATAATGTCTCTTTTTTCCATAATTACAACACTCATCGTCATTGAGATTTGTGGAATTCCTGAAATTTTGAGACTATGTCCTTTCATTCCTTGACTTGGATCTACCTCTGTTTTTATTACCGTTACCCTTCTTCTTGTTTGAACCCTTACCTCTGCTTTCAACATTCAATGCCGAACCACTGGGGGAATTCCCTATTGTTTTCCTTCTGATTTCTTCAGTCAGAATTATGCTTACAACTTCATCAAACTTCAACTTAGTCATCCCTACAGAGTTACTGATCGCGGTAACTATGCCACTCCAACTCTCGGATAACTGCCCTAGAATTAGTAGTGCTCAGACCTCATTTTTGAGGTCGATATCAACAGACTCTAATTGCCCAACTATCTTGTTAAATGCACTTAGATGTTCGTTGAACTTACCCCATTCAACCATCTTCATATTGAACAACTTCTTTATTAAGTGCACCTTGTTCGCTACAGAAGGCTATTCATACATACTAGAAAGGGCTGTCATGAGAGACTTCGTCATTTTCTCGTTCTTGATGTTAAAGGCGACTGATTTTGACAACGTTAATCTGACGGTGCCAAGAGCCTTCCTATCAAGTAATTCCCATTTTGCATTCTTTGTTTCCTCTGGCTTATTTCCCAAAGGTTGATATATATTTTTTTGAAACAAGAGGTCTTCAATTTGCACCTTCCAAAAACTGAAGTTTGTGCCATCAAACTTCTCGATCATAAATATGGATGTCTTATCTTCTGATGCCATTACTCCCACTCAAATGGACATATCTGATCGAAAGACTTTCAGAATTTCGTCAAACCCCTTCTGTGCCCTAGGTTCTCAACCAAAGGCTCTGATACCAGTTGTTTTGCACAATCAATCAAATTTGATACCAGTTGTTATGGTAGAAACGCAAAATAAACAACGATGTTCAAGGAATAAACACGCAATCATGAAGAATTGAGAAAATCACACGCAAGATATACATGTTTCACCCAAATCTTAAGGCTACATCCATGGAACACACCGAACAAATTCACTATAAAGAAGATGAAGAATTACAAAGGAGAATTTTCTCTCAATCTCTCTCAATTACTCTCTCTTGTATTGGCATAAGTTAATCAATCACACAACACGTATGATGATCCTCTTTTTTTTCTTCTCTCTATTTTTACACACCCTAAAATCTGATTAGAGTTGATATATATAGCCCTAAATAATTTGTCGTATAAGAAATTACCTTTTGTAGAATCCAAAACCAATAAGGAAGTTAAAACAGATCAGGAAACTGAATTTTCCCTAAACGAATAAGGAAGTTAAAACAGATTAGGAAACTGAATTTTTCCTAAAATTCAGCAGTCTTGAAGTTTTTATGAGTTGTACGCAGCAGAATATTTAGAAAGTTTTGACAATTTTAAAACAGATCTTGTAATTTTTTAACTTTCTTTATTTTAGCAATTAATAAATTAAAATCATGCAATATAAAATAAAGCAAAGTAAAGTTAAAGATGACACCAGGATTTTAGTGAGGAAATTCTAATTGATAAAATACGTCAACTGTTTGCGCGGAAAAAACCTCATGGACTGTGCAGTCCAAAGTAAACCGATCCACTTAGCTTGAAACAAAGTACACTAAACTTTGACTCTGACTCACACCCTATCGTTCTACCAAATACCAATTGCTGACAATCCTTTGGCTTTGCGACGCCCCGTCTAACAGCAACTTGACCTCAGGCTTATGCTTGATCTTTGTAGAAGAGTAGCAGGTAGATCAGACAACACTCCTCGAATGCTCCAACCTTTTAAAAATGTGATCGTTTTTACTTCTCTTCTTCAATCGTCTAAATTCGATGTAAAAGTAGATCTGCATTTGTCTGATCGATGTAGATACAACTGTATGATCACGATCAGGATTCGAACACCACAACTCTAAACTCACTATATGTTTATGTGTATTTGTTCTAGAAAGACAAATAGAAAATTCTCTAAGAATTTCTGAAACAAAAATCTTTCTAAGGCTTTTTAAGAATAATAAACTGATAATACAAAAGCCGTGAATAAACCTATGTGTATGACAAGGTTTATGTAGAGTTTAGAAAGTCCTAGTCGCTTTGAAAATATGAAAAAATTCGTGCATAGGACTTGGTACAATTCTAAAACAAGTAGGAAATAATTCTGAAAAAGGTAACTGAAAGTAGATTGCTGTCAGGACACCTTGAACGGGTTCAGAGGGGCTGAACCGGTTCAAGTTTGGAAGTTGGTTATTTCGAAGCCAACTTGAAGCCTTGAACCGGTTCAGAGGGGCTAAACTGGTTCAAGTTGACCAGAACTTGAATATTGGTTCATTCAGCCTAAAAACATTTTACGAAAGGTTCTGAAAAATATGAAAAGTGTAGAATGTGTCTTACCCTATTTAGAATCCTTCCTAATGTGTTGTTTTTTCATTTTTCTTCAAATGATCTCAATTGTAGTAACTTTGAACAACCTTTCCAATTTTGTAGTTGCCGTCGATCTTGATAACTTACATTACAAGTAAATGGAATTACAACTCGACTTGGACTTGTTTTGTGTACGATAATTGCCAAATATAAAATAATATCTCATAGTTTTCATATAATTAAATCTTCCTAAAAATCTTTCACCTAATCAGACTCCATAAAACCACAACATCCTTCTTTTCACCTTTCTCCATTAACAAAACCCACATCTTCTCTCTAGCTCGTGTTGCGCATGAAAAGCTTGAAGAGAATCAAGAGATCTTACTAAAGATTCAAATGATATCATTGATCTCGACTGCCTAAGTGGACCGAGGGTTTGGTTTATGGTTTTTGGCACTGGTACTGTACTTTAGGGTTATAACTTATATAGAGTAACTTATAACATATGAAACTGTGTCTCTGGTATTAAATTAAATAAATCGCAATTGGGTACTTCTTTTTTATTTTCTTACAAGATATGACAAGAATTATGGTGTGACACAATAAAAACCTTCCTTGTTAGGCATGGACTAAATTGCTCCTACTTCTATTTATAAGCCAACGACTTCACACCAAAAGGGTTTGGTTTTTGTTCCTTGGATTGGGACTTGGGTTATCCATGATTAGGTTGCAGTGGCGGTTAGGGTGTCAATGGTTTGACTTTTGCAGTAGGCGGTGATGGGTGGTGGTGATGGAGGTTTTGGGTGGAGGTGGTGCTATTTACACTTGACGGTTGGCGACGACAGCTCTCTGCTACTAATTTTTTTGTCTCTGTATATATATATATATTTTTTGAAGGGTTGCAGTGTCTCTGTGTTTTGTTGGTTGGGATTTGTTTGATGAAAATTAGTTTAGATGATGGTAATGGAGGTTTTGGGTGTTGGTGGGCAGGGGCGTGCTAATGGTGAATTGGGTTCAATTCTGACGAGTTACGTAAATAAGAGAGAAGGATTGAGGAAATTTTGTACATACAAAATAAAAATTTTGATTATTGAAATTGCCTTTTAATTTCTTGCTTTGAAAATATTGAAATCATGAAAAATTAGTGAACATGATTACTTGATATTTTAGCTTTAAAAATGAAAATTATGATTTTATTTTTAGAGCCTTCAAAAGTAAAATTAAGAAAGTAAAAATATTAGTGAATAGCGATAAACTAATCATATCTTACTTTTATTATCCTCGACAATTATGATTTTTTTCCATTCTACAGTTGATTGTTCAATTCACAAAAGCGTGCATATGTGCGAAATTGCTTGTTAAATTTTTTGATATGACACCCAATCGGCAGTGTATGTTGGTTCTGGATAGTGCCATTTTTTTCCCTGCAAAACCTGACAGCAATTATGGTGTGACAAAATAAATTTTTTTTTTTACTTGGCGTGGACCAAATTCCTCCCATTTCTATTTATAAACCAATGACTTCACACCAAAGGGATACTATCCATACACATGTCCACAATTGAGAGAATTCTACAACAAAATTCTAAAATGCCACAGAAGAATTTTTAAAATATTTACAAACTTACTATACAATTCTTGAATGCTACACAAGTTCATTTAACTCTTAACAAGTTCAATATTTCTAGGATGAAGAGTCGCTATTAGACTATAATTTTCAATAATTAATGGAGTACAGTTAAATTATTCGATTCTCGTCTAATTTCAATAGAAAGGAATGCTGTGGATTGATTGAACAACTTAATTCTGATCAAAATTACTTAAAACATGACTTCTCTCACCATCACCAATTGTCTCTGTAAATTTACACATGCTATGATATTGATGTTACAGTACTGGCTCGTAATAATATTGTTGACCCAAATTTAGATCTTGGTGAATTTTCTGGCTAAAATGTGCAAGAAAAATGAAAAAAGTTGCAACTTGAGATGACCAATGAAAGTCCCTGGACCTGAAACACTGTGGTGACGTGATTTGCACATTGAACCAATACTTAGACAACAGAATTTGGAGGATCGAAGTTAGTCAAAGCCCAAACGGGTATGACAAAAGGCCAAAAGCCCAATCGGAGGAGCCCAGAACCATAACACAAGTATCGGGCCCGCCCACATGTGAGAAATCCGGCCGTTAACAAACCGAATCCAATTCGGATAGTAAGACATGCTTCCTCATGAACAAATATGAAATAAATTTGAGGAAGAAGCCATGCGAGTTCTAGTTCAATTCAACATTTTTAATTCATTATAAATAGAGGCATAGATCTCCCAATAAAGAGATAGACAACAATTTCTTCTGGACATGTTTTTATTGTCGAGCGTCTAACAGGTTGAATCTTATACAATCTGACAATTTAAATTTAAAATTATTTTCTTATAAAATAAACAATTATCTCTTTCTTATTTATTTAGTTGAAAATTTAGAACAATTAGTGACTAAATTTCAAGTTAAGCACCCCAAAATTTGGCCTCAACACATTCAAAATAAACAGACGCAGAGAAATGGGTGAGATGTGAGACTTGAAGCTTTATTAAATATCTAACTCTTTTAGTATTTTTAATTTTTAAAGGCAACAAAACAAAAAGAAAGTGGCACACATTTTGTTTTTCTTTAAAATCTTCAATTCATTATTGGGACAAGTGCAAAAAACACCCTTTAATTGAAAAATTGTGCAAAAATTACCTCTAATATTTTTACATTATGCAAAAATACCCCTTAATTAGAAATCTGACATAATTAGTGTTGTAATACTCGTTTTTCCCTTTAAGTCTTCCAAAAATGCCCAATGGAGTATATATGCTACTAATCTCATAGTATATGGGTGTTATGTGCACATTATCTTCTTTTTTTTAAACAAAAAAAAAAAAAAAAAATTATCTATATATACCTCTAAACTTTTTTTAAAAAAAATTTGAGAATTTGCAAATTAAGGATTTGAATTTTTTAAGATTTTAGTTTACTGTTTTTTATTAATTTTATTTACTTATTTATTTTTCCGTACCAACTTTATTAAACAAAAAAAAAAAAAAAAATCACAATATCAGTGTACACTAGTTTTCGGAGTTTGGAATAGATTTGTTTTTTTAGTTCACACTTTATTTTCGTTTTTTATTTTCTATTTTTATCTTTATTTTTCTTTTTCTTTTTCTTTTTATTTTTATTTTCTATTTTTATCTTTTCTTGTCCATTGCCGGCGTCCTCCAATAGTATACTTTTTGGTCATTTTACAAAATTATTTATTTTTGTGTATTTTATAAAATAATTCATTAAGGTTAATTTAGTCAACTTAGGGTTTAAATTGGTCAAAGGGACCTATTTGCACCAAATTAAAACTTTATGAGTGTTTTTTGTACGTGGAGGGTATGATATGCACTATAAAAATATTTTATGAGTATTTTCTGCACTTGACCCCATTATTAGAGATCAAGCTTCATTAGTCCTTGATCGAAAATCAATTAAAGTCTTCTGCATTCTCAAAAAATTGAAAAAAACTCACTACATAATCCGTTCAAGTCGTAACCCTTACACTCGAACATTTCAAGCATATTAAATCATAGAGAGTTTTTTTGTTGAAAAATTGAACACAAAGAACTGTACAATTTTTTTTTGAAATTATTAAAATTGTATGAGTATTTGTTACACTTTTCCTCCTCTAATATTTGGACACGAAATTTAGGTTTACAAATTTGGACATTGCTTCTAAGGCTTCATTATAGCCCATTAGGAAAGGTACATATGTATTGAAGCATTGCAATTTCATTGAAGGTTCGAAATATCTTTCCACCATCTTCAAAGTCATTTGATAGACGACCCAAGTCAAGGTTCTTTTTATGGAGATTTCCACACACACTCAGAGTCACTCTTCCTTGTTACATCTCACTCATTTCCTAGAAAACACAACAAAAATCTCCTCAAGAAAATTTTATTCTGCAAATGCCTTCGAATCCAAGTTCTCATATGTAAGCTAACAATGTCCATTGCATTCCTTCCATCACCAAGAATAAAATTTCTCTCTCTCTCTCTCTCTCCAAATGGAATTCCAACTTTTCTTCAGAATTCTCTACTGGGATCTCAGATGTCCAATACTTTCTCCAAACTCTGCTAGCTTTCATTGCCACCAAATGGAAAACTTGTCCCAACACGAAAAGCCGAAACACTGATCAGCCATTGCAGTGCATTCCCATTGACCGTTGAGATTAATCCCATTGTTGATGATCAAGAACTTTGCTTTGAAGAGCTAAAGATGGTGATGGACAGGTTGGGTATATCGTATGATCCAGTTGGTGCTGATAATGACAAGCTTGATGAAGAGCCTTGTTTTGACGAGTTAAAGGAAGCTTTTGGTGTGTTTGATGTGAACCAAGATCGGTTCATAGATGCAACTGAGTTGCAGAGAGTACTCTGTAGTTTAGGGCTAATGGAGAGATCACAGGTGGAGTGCACTAGGATGATTAGTGCATTTGATGAAAATGGGGATGGACTCGTTGACTTTAATGAGTTTGTCAAATTAGTGGAGAAGTGTTTGCTCAGCCTTCCCATTCAACACTTTATGTAAAGTGCACATCATTAACAATTGGTTCTTTATTTTGGTGACTCTAAATTCTTATTGTGTACTTAATTTTTTATTCTATATTTTATTATATTATTATTTTTTAAAAAATAAAATAAATTTTATTATTATTATTTTCAACGAGTTTTATTTTCAACAACTATAATACTAATATCGCACGTTTTATTTTTTGGACAACCGATATTTCTTTTTTTTCTTCAACCTTTGTATTGAAAGAACAGATAAAAAAAATGATATGATTCAACTCTAGACCCATTCACCTAGCCAAGCCAGAAAAAAATAGATTAGATATAAATAAGTTTAAAAAAAAAAAAAAATGGGGAAGGCTTTTTAAATATGACCGGATTCCAATATGTATGATGGAATCAAATGGATTCCTGCTTCAAGCATTGGGTTTACTGTCTCAATTAAGAGGGGTCATGGAAAGAACGGGATCAAAATCGCAACGGTTATAATTGTTTGCTCCGATTATATATTTAGATACAAGATTTAAAAAATATATATTTTTAAAAACAATAATATTACATATATATTTTACAATTGGATTGACATATTTTGAGATCGAAATTTGCTTAACACAAAAACCTATATCTCACACAAAAGTTCAAGGGCATGTTTTGTTCACTTTTTTATTTTTCAGTTCTAAAAATCCATGAAAACTTGTTTATTCACCCATTTTATGATTTTTTTCTCTCTAAAAAGTCAGTTAAGAAAATGTATATATTCATATAACTATCTTTATTATTCTCTAGAAATAATTTTTAATTTTTTAGACTCTTGATAATAGTTTTTAGAAAAGTGAACAAAACATACTTTATGAGTTCTTGAGATTTAAGGTTCCACTTCATTGTTCTTAGGTAGAAATCCACAACAAAGAAAAACATAAAAATACTCCATCTTGCCCTAATTGCCCTAATAGCATGCGTATGTGGTACTTGGATGCCACAGGAGTTGTCGTCGGATTAACGGCTTCTCCCTCTTTGTTACGTTTTGTTTTTTAAAGTTACAAATGGTCTCACTAATGGGCCGTTTTTTCTGAATGTTTTGATGATGTCTTGTAGGGCCTAAGCCCACTTTCAGCTCAATCTGAACCCACTGTAAATTCTATGTCTTGTTGGGGCTAGGCCTTATTGATTTCAACTTTGTTTATTTATTATTAGGATGAACTACATTAAATCCCTCTTTTTTATTCGTGTTTTTATTTTTCTGCCAAAAAACTCCCCTCAACTATTCAAGGAAGATGATTTAACTAACGAAATTAGTTGAAAGAAAACTGAAATATAAATTGACTTAAATACCCATTAAAGCCTATTTGAAAATCTACTTTGCTTCTTGTTTTTTTATTTATTAAATAACCTAAACGACATCATTCACACAAATTAACACTTCTATTATTTTTTTTGTTTTAACATTTTACTAGACTGACAAGTTCACATTAGTCACATGGAAGGAATTTTTTATTTTTTTATAAAAAAAATTATATTGAAATATATTATAAAAAATAAAAAAATAAAAAATAAAAAAATAAAAAAAAAAAAAAGAGGAGGAAGAAGAAGAAGAAGAAGAAGAAAACATGTAGGCATAAATATTAATATAAAAAAGGAAAAAAAAATAGGCATTATTTCTCGCAGTGTCCCTTTAATAAATCTATATAAAATGAAAATCAATAAAAACCAAATAAATGAATGTACAATATAATTCTCAAATATATATATATATAGCAGATAAATTTCAAAAAAAAACCCTAGATTTATATTGGTCTGAAGGCTGGATGGAAATGAAAATATAGTATAAATAATATTTAATGGTACATATTATATATACCATTATATTATGATACAAATTATATATAATGTTATAATGATTGAAGAATACGTGTCGTTGCAATAGTGGAAAATATGCGACTAAGAGTGACAATGGAGTAGATATATATGTGAGGGTATATTAAAATAGGTACAAGGACATTTTTGTCTAAAAAATATATGAGAAACTAAATATCCAAACAGTTCCCTTGAAGGTAACTTTTGTTAGTTAAATCAACCCCCTCGAATAGTTGAGGGGGGTTTATTGACAAAAAAATAGAAAAATGGGGTTTAGTGAAAAACGCAGATAGAAAAAAAGGGGTTTAATGTAGTTCACCCTTATTATTATTATTATTATTAATTTTTGAACGATGAAATGAGAGGGAAAACTCCATTATGGATGATTGACATAAGGACCAACATATTTTGTGCTTTATGTAATGTGCAAGTGAAGTGCTAGGAAAAGTGATCGAAGAAATTAACCTTTTTCCAAGGTGAAAGAATGGGAATGTACCTTTTACTTTCCCACCTAAAAAGAAAATTAAAGACAAGAGAAAGGTATATGAGACTTTTTTTTCTTCAGTTTTCCTCTGCCAGTAGGAGAAGAATTAACTAATTAATTTAATTGATTGCAGTTTCACTGCAATAGGGTTCCAGAATAAAGGCAACACGAAAACATAAATAAAACTTTCGAAATATATATATATATATATATATAATGGTTAAATAAATATGTTTATTTTAACAAATCCAATGTTGTGTAAAGCACTCTTTCCACTGACTCTTGGTTTGAAAAGTTATGCAACTTTATTCAGGAAAAAAAGAAAAAGAAAAGAAAAGAAAAGGTTATGCAACTTTAAAGATGCATACCAAACAAAATACATAGAGAAAATGATATTTTTCCTTATTTCAAATCTGCTAAAGTTCGTGGAAACACGATCACTAAGAATATATCCATACATTTTTTTTTCCACTTGCATGTTTTGTGACCATTTATATGGTTCTCCTTAATAATCTTTTTAATAATGAATTGACAGTGCTTGCTCTTCCACTACGCAATATATTTGCCTAAGGTCGTACATGGGAAAGGAGACTCCATTCTTATTTCACTTGTAATGAATCTATTGTAGGTTTAAAAACTCTTTCCAAGCTTTTGATTTGGGTCCATAAAAATATACTGGATTTAAAGTATATATATACTTTATTCAGTGTTATAAATTACATTAAAATAGGTGATGTATATGTAGCCAGCCTAGTAGAAATTAAACTTTAAAGTATATTCTACCACCATTATTTAGTTTTTTATTTTATTTTAATTTTTGGTACTTTTTCTCAATTATTTTACTTCTTCTCACTTGTTATGATCTAATCTTCTTGATTTATACTTCTATCTTAATATATGTATATGTGTGTGCGTGCTCGCGCGTGCACACACTTCCTTATGTTTATATTAGGTCTTATCACATGTGAACCTGATTCTAATGTATGATTTTGATAAGTTTTATTATGTTGATTAAACTATGGTATAGTATTTCATCTTCTATGAAAGTGAGAGTTAAAATTTGAAAGTCAGAAAATTCGAGTCTTCCCATACTAACAATAATATATACGTATATGCTAATTGAACTAAGATAGTTGTACCATTCAGACTAGGGCAGACCCATTTGTTTGCCATCAGATCTTATTAAATAATGATGATAAGCATCTAGATCTAGTGAGAATAATAGTGGCCCATATTGTAAAAACCTAAATGCAAGTCATGCAAATAACAGAACTATTACCTTCTGATGGTAAAAAAGTAACCCTACTCAAAGAATTAGCACAAAATGGCATCACTTTAAGTGTAATACAAAACAAACAAAATTGAAATAATTTATTTCCACAAATGGGACATATATATATATATATTATCTTGGCAAGAAAATCAGTTATACGGCATCTATAAACACAGCCATAAACAACGTGTTAGTGAAAATATATGTTTCATGTGACATTTAAGATATAACAAACCTTATACTAATATGTCATGAGATAATTAATAATATGCTAAGAAATCATTAATTAAATATGCAACTCTATATTTAATTAAAGATGCAAAATAAAGTAATGAAATAATAATTATAAATAAAGAATCTGGACCGAGGCTAGTATTGGATACTATGTCCTTAAGACAGATTCGCCCCGCTATGGTGCTAACGGACTCAGTGGCGTCTATCTCCCAGGATACAACGGTCTACATCCACCAGTAGCAGCACTACAAACTCGTGGATACGGCGAACATTCTCCGTGTAATACTCTCTCTGACTCAAAAATGCATCTATGCTATATAAATGCTGAATTGGGTGCAATTCGAATCAAATGGTTCGGATCAATCTTAATATGGTTCGATGAAATTGGATTAGGGTCTAAGTGGTTCGGACCACTTAACCTATGGTTTGAACACACTTGGGTTAGGTTCAAGTCTAAAGAGGGAGATAGAAAAAAATGAAAAATGAACAACTTGCAAATGATCCAAAGGGGGATATTTATAAAAACAAAAATGCCTTTTTGGATTGGGTGTATCTCTTCATTATTGGACACAACCGTTGCAATAAGTTGCAATGGTTCACATGGTGTCTGTTCACCACTAGACACATCTATTCTAATAGGTTACAATGGTTCACATGGTATCTGTTCACCAATAGACACATCCATTCCAATAGGTTGCAATATGCCTTTTCGAGTGGGTGCAACCATGGGTTATGATGGTTCGGAAAAAGGTGTAACCTTTTGAAAAAACTAAAAAGTGGTTTTTTAATTAAAAAGGTGTAACCCTTTAGAAAAACTAAAATATGGTTTTTTAATTTAAAAGGTGTAACTTTTTAGAAAAACTAAAAAGTAATTTTTTTAATTCAAAAAACCAACCACACAAAAAACCCACCCATTTGTGAAACCCATTTAAATAAGCCCAGCCTAAAATTAGGCCCAATCCAAAATTCCAAAAAAGAATAATCTGGATTTTACAATTAGGCCCAAGCCCAAGCTCAAGCCCAAATCCTAAACTCAGCTTATTTAAATTTCAATTTGTTTCAACATTTTTTTTTTCATGTGGGACAAACATTTCCCACATTTTGCATACCCATTTAAGCTTATCAAAATACCACACTTTGGAACTAATTTCTCATTCACCCGGAAACGGATTTG